AGATTAGATTCATCTTATAAATGGTCATAGATGCAAATAATAATGAATAAATTTTATTTATTTAACGTTCTTTGTAGAAAAATTGAATTTCTAAATTGATCTTGTTTATATTAATCTAGGGTGGGTGTGGGTGTGGGTGTTGGTATCCACTGAACCTGCATATACACCCACACCCACACCATTTTCTAACTATCCTCAAAAATTAGAAATAAAGAATCTAATAAAATCATCAAGAAAATACCATTATTATTTATTGAACATTTTATAATTGTTAAAAATATGCTAGTGCTAACAAAATCATTTTAAAACTTTCTTATAATTAAGCATTAAAATAATTCTGCTTTCCTTTGAACACTTCAAGTTTCATCTTTTTTTATTAAATCAGACTAAAAATTGAGAATTATACGTTCCTGCCTAGTTCAACTAATAATACATCAAGTCGCTACAAAAAGCATCAAGATAAATACATATTATATAACCAACTACTACTATTTCTAAAATTTCATTCGACAAAGTTGATATAACTTCTATGTCTATAAGCTTTATTAGTGTCATGTTCATGATATTTCAATCATGCATAGATAAACATTTCTTCATTTTTTTGGTAAAATACAATAAATTTAAACTTCATAATAGTATATTTTTCTCTATAATTGCTAATAATGAAGCAATTTGATAAAGCGCGCCTTTCTTTTTTCTTTCATTAACATAACTACTCAAATCAATATTAACATGTCTCTTGCTGGAATAATTTTACATGATATATATATATATATAATAAAATTATTATCTACGTTCATCTAACCACTTGCTCAGTAAGTTATATGAATTATAGTTCAGATACACTAATGATCACAATAGACGATTAAGAAATAAGAAACATATAACGCTAATGGTTCGTTTCGTGAAATTAAGAATTTTCTGACGTATCTAATTTGGTACGCTTTTTAGAGAATCCTAGAAATATTTAAAATTTAAATCAGATTATTAGATCGGAGTAAAAATAACATGCGAACTATATACTTACTTTAGCAAACATTTGCAATCATTTAAAAAAAAATAAACAACCCTTTGGGCTAAAAATTACCTCTTTTCAATTTACGTATTCGATTACTAACTATGGATAGATTTAAATACATACTTACGAACGTTTGACATGAAAAATAAACCTTTGAGCTAGAGAATTAAATAAATTTCTTAAACAATAAAGTAAACTACCAAATATAGTTGCATGTCAATGTAATTTCACGAACGTTTGACATAAAAAATTTACTTTTCGTTAAATCTTTTTATTCAATTACGAACTATAGACAACCATAAACATATTTTAACAAACATTTGATATGAGAAATAAACCTTTGAGATAGAAAATGAATAATTTCCTTTCAATACATTAAATTGATTACAAACTATAGTTAGATTTCAATATATTTTTACGATTCCTTGAGATAAAAACAAAACTTATAACATAGAAAATCTAAATAGCTTTTCTATTGTGATCATTAGAATTTTCTAACATAATCATATAATTTACCACAGAAAATCTCTCCTAAAAATTCCTAAAAATAAAAAAATGTATATGTAAACAATTGTTTACAACGGCAGTAAAGCACATGGCACTAAATCGTGTAATTCCTTTAATGTAGCATAAAGTACTTGAAGTACAAAATTCTGCCTCCCCCTACCTGATTCTAAGTCATAATCCTAGAAAAACTAGTTTTTGAGTGCCCAATTCAAGGTATGTAAAGTATAGTCCTTGATATAAAGAGTTTCTTCTTGAAATTTCAGAATTTTTTTACTGCTGTCATCGGAAAACTAAATGTTGAGTTTAGTTCTGTATTTAGACAATATAAAAGACAACTTTTAACATGGCCGTATTTCAGAATAATAACAAGGATATGATTTGAAATTTTCAGAACTTTTCTATTAATGTCAGCACTTTATATCTATGCAAAGTTTGAAGTCACAATTGTAAAAAATTTTCTAGTGTTCCCAAGAAGAACCACGACGTTTTGTTTGAAAAATTGTGAAAATGTATTTAGTCAATACGAATAAACTATTACTTCGAACACTTTTCAGAAAAATTATACCTTCATAGCGATTACATGATGTACATAGTCTTGAATTAAAAGCGGCTTCACATTCGAGTACCTCACTTTGTGAGGTGCAGAATCTGTTGCTGAAGAACTGAGTGAGTTTTGGTGAATAAGATTTCAAGTTTAGATATCTTTTTCGTCAAGCCAAATCATTTATAATCAACAATTTTAAATAATTCCGTTGCTTTTCACAAAGCCCAGTTTTGGAGAGAAGCCTATTGTAGAGATCTGTCTTTTAAATCATCACAGAACCCCCATGAAAGTTCTACAAAACTTCTTTCTTTTCAATTAGTCATAATAATTTGTCTGCGTATAACACCCACACAACTCTGATCACTCATTTTCGCCTTCCAATTTTCTTTCCGGCGTTTGTCCGTATTTAATTGCACACGTAAGATGCTTTTTCTCTTCTATTTTCTTCCTTCTTAGTTCTGCATACAGAAGAAAAGCATCTGTCAATACATTTCATTCAGCGCACAAAACCTTTCGGAGGAAAGCGAATCATACAGCACTCAGATTCAACATAACCACGTGCGCTGAAAAAATATTCTACTCATGGAATCTTTTTCTTTTAGATCAATATTTTTCGAGTAAACGCTGATACAACATATCAACCATAGGCAACATATTATTTCAACAGCGATCACCTAGAGAACTCACTGTGCTCATGAATGCTACCGACTACAAAGAGAAAGGTATGGAAATGTTTTTCGTGGTCAATCTCTAATTTTTCCCCATGTGCTTATTTGACAAAAGATTAAAAGATGGTCAGACGGAAGCTATTGAAACAAAACATTATTTAACACTTGAATACATTGAAATTTGAAGGCAATCGTAAATAGACAGTTTCGCATACAGCCATGTTTCACTCATTTTTGTTGTTGTCCTTGTGATATAATATGTGATTTTTCATACTCATGAATAAATTCATTTATCCATTTTTGAAAACACGAAACTTACTATAAATATGAGAATAAAGCAAAGGGGAAACGGCGTACTCCGGTACTTCTAGAGTACATGGAGTCCATGAAGTAACTGAAGTACAATGAAGTACGCGAAGCCCAGTAGAGTACACGAAGTACAGCCAAAGTACAAAAATTGAAAGTTACAATAAATTTCATAATTATTAAACAAGCCAAGTGAAATTCTATTTTTTGAAAATTATCATAGAATAGTGAGAAGAGATAATATTCGCAATAAAGATAAAGCTTCTAGGGTATCCCCTAGTGAAAAGATTCATCAAGCGAGTACGACCTGCCAGCATGAGTATACAAAAGACTCGTTGGAGTACTCGTGAAATTCTCTGTGCATCTTTAATGTTCATGTACTCAAGTGAGTACTCGCATAAGTTAACTTTCTGAAATTCACTCGTATACGATAGTCTGAGTACTCAAAGTAGTACTCGATTCTGTGTTTCGATAAAACACCAATGCATTAACATGTAAAACTTAAAATAACATTGTATAAAAACAAAAAAAGTAATGAAATTAATTAAAAAATATTAACGAAATATTTTGTGGATATATTGATTCCATCCTTCATGTTTAGTAGATGATTCGTTTTTGTTTATATAATGATCGGATATATCAAATCAATTGTATTTCATTTTGTGAACAGAGACACATACATATATACATACACTTTTCATTTTCAAATGTTTAATTTTCGAATAAAGCAAAGTACGTCTTTTCGATGTGCATAAACAATAATCTGATAACTTTTCATTTCTAAATTTCAGATAAAATTTTGTTTCAGATTAGTTAAGCTTTCTTCTCGTTACTAAGTAGCATCCATGATTCATGTCATGAAGTTTCTTTTTTTTTATAAGGATCGCTTTCACATTAAACTTCTTAACAAAATCAAGAAAATCAGACTTTATCTGTTTCACTCTAGATTGATATTTTGAAGTATAAATTTTAAAAATTTTCTGGTTTATTCTGATTTTTCTGATTTCTTTGATTTTTTGATTTAAAAATAAAAAAAACAGCTTTTCTCCCTTGATTCAACGGTAATTATACTTTTTTCCACTAGGATTTCTAAAGAAAAATTTCAATAGTAGGTTCTATTAAAAAAACAATTCTATTTCTGTCTTCTCTATTGAATATTTTTTGCTAGCCGACTTGTTTATATTTAGTTTCTGATGGAGACAAAGTTTCAAATGATTTAGCAGTGAGTCAGTGTGAACAACAGCGCCACGTTATAAAATATGTTCTTGAAAAATTGGAAAGCTATGCACATAAATCGGATCTCTGGCATTTAATACATGCTTCACATCTACGCCGCAAACTTCTTCGTAGATCTGCACGCGTTTCAAAACAATATTCAATATCCGAGGACCTTGTTCGCAAGTGTATCAATCAAATCTTTGTTGATGTCGATCAATATGTAACGCAACTACATGAATTGATATGTGAACAAAAATCTGATACTTTGATAGTACTCTTAGATAACATAAATAAAAAGAATACTGCGTGGTATACTATGCAAATAAAACGTGCGCGATGCTTATTTCCAACTCAACAACACTTGGATGATAATGACTTATTGGAAAATTATTATATTTATATTAGAGAAAGATTAACACCTAAGCAAAAGTTATCGAATGCAACAGAACAAAAACAAGCTTGTCCAAACTTTTCCGATTTGAATATAGAATATCAACAGGCGAACAATACAGGAAAAGAATATCTAAAACATGTTATACAAAAATTTCGAGAAAGGATAATACCTGATCTAAGAATTATTGATGAGATGGTCAATTTAGGTAAGAACAAGTATTGCACTTTCACGATTCATATAATGATGCCTCTTGGATTTTTGATAGGAATAGCTGATATGAAGACGTTCCCATCAAAAGAAGATTTTGAAACCAGCAATAGCTTTCTAGGAAGAGTATTGATTTTCCATCGAATCAAGGGCGCATATAAAACTACCCTACAAAATACCAGCGACGACTTCATGCTGCTTCGTTTTGGAAAAAGTTTTGGTTATAATGCATCGAAAAACATACATCAAATTAACAAACAATTTTCCTACCTTCTAAATTCATTCCTCAAGTCAATAGTGATTTTGTTTGCTTATCTAACAGCAGGTTCCAACGATAGTATCATGTCTGTAATATCGAAAATTGACTCTCTTTGGTTATTCGATTACGATTCTTCAGTAATGAAAATGAATATTGATCTATTTTCTCCAGAATCAAACATTGATCAATGGACATGGCTGTTAGAAAGATGGCGCGATACTTTAAGAACTATGCCCATAATACTCACACGAGCTGGTGCTTTCAGTCGTGTTGTTCGTACAACTATTGGTATCGGTCTTGTGCATCTCGGCAAATGCGCTGAAACGATGGTTACAACTGAGTGTACATCGATGAGCACTGAACTTATGAATGAACAAATATTTCATGCTCTTCAAACAGGCTTCTATTTTGGTGTTGCTTATGGTATAGTCGATTGTCTACAAGATGAAAAACACATTTTGGATAATGTGCCATTGCATCAGTTTCTTATTTTTGACAATGAAAACAGCCAGACATTAACATCTTCTAAAACCATTGATAAATGTCTTAGTCTTATGGAAGAATTATTGAGTGGTACTGAGTTTGATAGAAGTCAACTACCAGATAATCCTTTTGCATCAATGCTTGTTGAATCCTTCGATAATCTTTTGATACTGACACAATCGAACAATACAATGCATGAATCTTTCAAAGAATTGGCTCTTCTCTTACGTTCACAGCGAACTGACACAAAAGAAATAGATCAACATTATGATAACGAACAACTATATCTAGGTTAGACATATACTACCTTTTGTAGTTTCTCAAAAAACAAATTAATTAAAAATTTAGGTTCTGTTCTCAAGTCACATTTTACTTATACATGCACCACTTATCTTGGTAATATGAGCACAGCACGTGAGGCAAGTGATCAACTTTGGATTATGCCATTTTTGGGACAGCTGACAGACGATTGTCGAGATTTCAATGATGATATTAGATCAAAATCAGTCACTCCATTTACATACTATGCATCATTAATGCAACGTAAAGATCCGTTCGTTAATAGTTTACTCAATCCATTCTATACATTTCTCAATCATTGCTCAGATATATATTTGTCAAGTCATCGAGATGGTCAAACGGGTGCATTTCTTGGCCGCCGTATTGCTCGTACGTTGCGATCAGTTAAGATGACTGGTGATGAAAGATCATTTGTTCAATTTCTTAATATTTTCTGTGCAGACAACCAAACTTTGCATAATTACTTTAACAATAAATTGCTTAAGCAGTTTCCTTGTGTTAGTGATCCTGAAAAAACTTTCTTCAGAGTATTAGATGTTGCGAGTGTAAAATACGCGCGAACAAACCGAAAACTAGAAACATACGTATTTGAAAACTTAATAAAAATCGAGGATGCATTAAATATTTTTCCTGTACATACTCAAGATGATTCCATCCTTGAGGAAAATGTATTAATGACAGCAATGAATTATAGTGTGAAAATTGGTGGTAAACGTTTGAGACCTCTACTGATGTTTATGGTTGCTGACTTATATGAAATTGAATTAAATCGAATATTGCCATTAGCACGTGGTATCGAATACCTACACACATCATCACTGATTTTCGATGATCTACCCGCTCAAGATAACAGTGATTTACGACGAGGCCAAGCAGCTCTTCATAAAACAACAATTAATAACGACATATCATATAATTTATGCGAAGGCCGAGCTCAATTGGCTGCTGTTGATCTCATTGCGATTAGTATGGGTTTAATTAATGGTGGTCTTATAAGAAATGGTTTTTCATTTGAATCCGTTAGTCGAGTTGTTGATGAAATTTCTTTATTGATGCACGATCTTTGTATAGGACAAATGATGGATTTACGTGCAGCACGTGTTGGCATTGAAGAGGACAATAAAAAGATTGATAAACTTGATCGTATTGCATGGTTTAAGACGGGAAAGACTATTGAGGTAGTCATGATCTTGCCAGTTCTCCTTGCTAAATCACCATCAGATGAGCAAGCTCTCGAATTATCGAATATCCGAAAATTAAGCCAGCTTATGGGAGTTATGTTTCAAATGCGAGATGATTTATTAGATGTTGAAGAAGGTGCCGCTATCGGAAAACCAGCAGCACTCGACATCAAAAATAATACAGTTACATATGTCTCATTAATCGGTATCGATGGCACCCATGAACGTCTTCAACAGTTCTTAGCGCAATCATTACAGCTAGTGGATGAATGCTGGCCAACAGGGTCGGCAACAATCAAAGATGTTATTCAATATTTTGTAACACGCAAAACTTGACTTTATTTTTTGATAGGACATTTTGTTTAATAATTTATTACAATACTCACGAAAAAGTATTTCTTAAGCAGAGATCAGAAGAAAATCTTCATGACTATCTATCGACCTAAGTACATTGTTTTGTTCTATTAAACACTGATCTGCTATTTCAATGCAATGTGTCAGGTGCTATATTTGATTCAAATTGAAAAGTTTTGTGAATAATTCAAAATTTTTACTGTAAATACAATTTTATCGTATACAATTTCGCATGATAAAAGATTCAGAGAAAATATTATGAATGTGATTTTTGTGTGAGTATTCGTAGCAGAGAACGCTTAGAAACATATATTTTGGGAAAAGAATTCTTGTCTTATATACAAAGAAAAATAATTTGTAGATATACTGAATACGGTTGGAGCAAATGAACTGATATTTTTTTCAATAATGTAGATCTACTCGAGTTCTATATCTAAAAAGGTATGTCTAGAAAGATTCTCGGTTAAAAATATTATTCTATTTTCTATTTGTGAAAACGTAAATTTTGTTTTGCTTAAGATCATCCTTAATACTTAACAAAGAGTCTCTTTAAATGTGTCTTTATCGATATTCAACTTTTTCCATGTTTCCGTATTTCTAGAACACGTGGTACCATAAATGCCAGATCCATTGGAAATGAATTTTCCTCACTCTAGTATCATCAAAAAGAAACCGATGTGATTATATGTTAATAAATAATGATGACTCAACCTTACTTTTCATTTGTTGAACACATTACTACATAAAAAACCTAATCTTGTTGTGTATATACATGACATAATCTTAACATTGTGTATTTTAAAAGAAACGTCTAAATGAAATCTATTTATTGACTTCCTTTTATTGTGAATCACAAATTTATTTAACATTAAATGCATTCTTTAAAGAAATCATTTTGTAATTTGTTTCCCTAAACTTGTGTACAGACGTCTATCACTATTAATACCTAAAGAATAGAGAATCCTGATCCTAATAAAAAAACAGGTCTCTATTTAGGAGGGATTTATATACAAATAACTTGCTTTTCTACATGGTGTCCCAGAAGTCCACGCGGAAAGTTTACTTAGATATCTCTTATACAATTCAAGCGATTTAAATTTCTTTTTTTTATAATATTGTAGTATATTCTTTTAAGTTTTCTTCTGTATACTTCCAGATAAATGTCTGTGCCTACAAACATTAGAATAAAAATAGTTTTATTAATGGCTAAATTTGAATCATCTACAGTTGTGAAACGAAAACAATGGGCCGAGTTTGGTAAAAACACGCCTGGTGAAACCGCTATTAGAGAAATATTTCAACGCTTTTGTGAAGCTGGTACAGTTGAAGATCGAGAACGTCCTGGAAGACCATCAGAAATTACCGAAGAAAAGATTGACGAAGTTGCTGAAGTTATTGAAAATGAACCACAATCGAGCGTTCGATCTGTTGCAACAGCCTGCTCTATTTCACGAACAACAGCACATCGAATTATGACTGAACATCTGTCATGGAAACCGTACAAGGTGCAATTTGTACAAGAACTTTATGAAGAAGATATGCAAAACAGGGTTGAGATGTGTAAAACTCTGATACCAATGTTAGAAGATAATCATATTCAACAAAATTTATTCTTTTCAGACGAAGCAACCTTTTATTTAAATGGATTAGTCAATAAACATAATGTCAGATATTGGCCTGAAACGAATCCACATGTTACTATTGAAACAGTTATGAAATCTCCTAAACTCAACGTTTGGTGTGCTATATCAAAAAATCAATTAGTAGGGCCATATTTCTTTGAGGATGATACTGTTAATGGGAATAATTACCTGTCAATGCTTCAAAACTTCTTTATTTGGGAGGTGAGGAAATTGCACAATGTTCGGCCTATCGTATTTCAGCAAGATGGAGCTTCTGCTCCTTTCTCAACCGACGTACGACAGTATCTCGACAATCATTTTCCTAACAGGTGGATCAGAAGAGGTGGTCCAATTCGATGGGCTCCACGCTCACCGGATTTGACCCCTCTTGATTTCGTTTTATGGGGTCATGTCAAAAGCAACATCTACAAAACTCGTGTCAAAAATGTGGCGGAATTAAAAAGAAGAATCAACATCGAAATCTAATCAATTTCTAAAGAAACCTTGAGTGATGTTTTTTCAAATATTGTAAAAAACTTGGATTTATGCATTTCAGTTGATGGCAATCATTTTGAACATTTGTTGTAAACCAAATTATATGAAATAAAAATTAAAAGAATATACTATCATTTTATAAAAAAAAGCGATTAAATCGCTAGAATTGTATGAGAGATATTTAAGTCAACTTCCGCGGGAACTTCTGGGACACCCTGTATAATGGTTCTTAATACACATATTCATGTATTACTCTTTCACAATTATGTTGTTTCACATTTCGCCAGGCTAAAATTTACTTGTCAAAAGACAATTTTTCCTCTTCTGATTAGCATAAATGTTTCTCATAATTAAGATGCTTGTGTTGATAAGCAAAACGGTAGGACATGTTCAGGTGACATGTTGGCTCTCATCGCCAAACCAAGAAGATTGGCATGTTAGCAGCTCTTAATTTATCTAGACCTAGAAAAGCTAATAGACACTTATATGTTAACTTTCTTACTTTGGCGATGAGAGTTTTCATTTCACCTGAATGTATCCTATCTTTTTGTTGATCAATAGAAATACGTTCATAGTTAGCACTGACACCGGTAAAAGATATTTTATAAAAAAATAACATTAGAAAATTTTTGAATCGATTTTTTTGTAAAAAGAGAAAATTTCGTTGAGACAGTGGAAAGTTTTACATCGATAATCTGAATTGATTGTCATTTGATCATGAATATTTGTTGCTGGGTACATTGTAAGTCTTCTCCAAATATTGATACATAGTAATAACTAAGACATACAATCAAAAGTTTGTCGACAAATTTTTGCTTTCTATTCCTTCACTAAAATAATCATGATAACACGTCGAATTCCTTAATGAAAGAGTTCTGATTTTCGTAGAAGTGATTTTTTTCATCAACATTGTTCAGTATGTGCATGTTCTCAGCTCGAAATGTACCGAAGAAACGTTTCACAACTTCCTATATAGGTATTGTCTTCTATCTAGTTTTGTTGATATCTTTTTATATTGTGGTGAATAGCCCATGTCGGCTAATACATGACGCCATTACTTGGTATGTCACCTATTCAGCAGTAGATAAAAAGCCAGGTAAATATAACTTTTTCATGTGCACCACAAAAATATTGATAGGAGAAATATCAACATGCCTATCTAATTCATCTGAAAACATTGATTTTATAGAAGCCTCTTGAAAAGCTTGATTTAGGAATTGATAGCCTGCAACAAATGTTGCTCATTATTGTCCTTTTTCTATATTTTCTGGGTTCATCTTTATAATCAGTAAAAAGCAAACATTGCTTTTTTCGTAGACATGACACTATTCTTACAATATTATTATCAATGTCTGAAATCTTTGCTTAAAAAAAATGTTTTGATCGCATTTGCATCTGCCCTACATGATGGTCAGTCTGATAAATATAGTATATTTTTAATGAATTCTCGTTAATTTTATTTGGGAAGAAAAAAATCAGAACAGTCTGTATCAAAATAAACGAGATGAGAACACTGCACACTATTTTTCTAATTATATATATTTGTTTATCTTTGCTGTTTTCTCAATACTAGTACTTGGCCGGCATGGGTCACATTTATTGCGATTGATTCAGGAAGATAAAATGGCTCACCATCCATATGTACAGGCATCGACCGAATTAGTTCTATTCGAACTTCACTGCATTGAGCGATACGACGGCCACGAAATCCAGCATGAATTAATGCCATCTGTATCGAGTCTAGCCCGAACACTTCAATTTTTTGATCACTAATGTCTTGTCTTCTGATCGAATTAATAGCATATGAACCTGTCTGATCGTACTCGTCATGCACATAATCCGATGGAAACATGCTGTCTGATGTATTTCGACTAATTTGATCCAATCTATCACTTTGGTTTTGCCTATTAGGTGTTGTTAGAGCTTTGCTTGATAATCTTCTGCTCCAAGGATGGGTACCTGAACCATAGCTTGGAATATTTAATAGAACAATAGTATGGCAATGACGTATTGAATCGGTTAAATCATTACCATCGCAAATCAATCTCATATATGGTCTTAAGTCCCATGCTCTCCATAATGCAAACTCTCTAAAATATGTTCGACTAATGCTCAGATAAATTAGTTTATTTTTGAATGGTGAAGTAAACCTAGATGGATCACGGATTCGCTTGTCATGAAAATCAAGTACAACAGCTGCATCTAGTCCAAAACTTAAGTAATTTGTAAAGCGAGTATTGAGAGGAGCTTGATGATTTTGATAAGATGGCCGATTTGTTTGATCAACGAATTTCGGATGATCCAATAGGGAGCAGAAACATCCACATGCATTTCTGACTCTTTCAGTAGTATCGCTTATTGTCCACGGTTCGAAAGTGATTTGCCAACGATCCAACGGTATGGGTTGCGCATCCGACACTTGTTGCAGCATAGTTAGTAATTGTTTTGCACTGTAACACCTACCCCAACCCAAAACACGGGACAAATCGTTGCCTGTACCTAATGGACAGATACTTACTGGTGGATTATTCAATGAGGAGCATGTTTCGGCCAAAACGTTTAATACCCATCCAACAGATCCGTCACCACCACAGATAGAAATCCGAGTGTTACGTAAAGATGAATAAATGCTTAGAGCTTGTTTAATATTGTCATTGTTTTCAAGGAGAAAAATTTGACGTGGATTTAACAGCCGAAGAAGTCGACGATAGATGCTTTCACCCTTTCGACCACCCGAGATTTTATTTATGAAGACTATCAAAGGTGTCACTGATGTATTGCTCTCATCAACATCGTCACAAAATCGAGCACAAATTCGTACTGGATGGCTACTGAAACGCTGTAACCATTGTGGATGAACAATAATGTTCCTATGAGAATCGACCAAAAAGAAGTTTAAACCTATTGGATAATCAGACTCACTTGAACTTTCCGTAATCACATTTGTACTGTTTATTACCATCGCTAATGCTTTCCCAACACTGTTTATGACAACTTTTGAAGCACCACAAACATTGAAGACTACTGGAAGTCTTGAGAAAATCTTTATTTGAGTATTTCAATATGTTGACTGTCTTTGCATTGATGTGTGATGCGGAAGCTAATGGAGCAGAAGTCGAGGTTCTAGTATTATCCTTAGTTACCATTCGTAGCAACGTTTTTCGCTTGCATAACATACATGGTTTTAGGAGTTTCGAAATTGATGACCAGTAATGATGATCGTGTTCAATGTGATCGTCTGCTGTAGCAGTGTCAGAAAATGATGGGCGACAGGGTGGTATGTAATTATGAATATTAGCTACATTTTCTACATTAATGATATGATCTATGTGAATAACTATTGTGCACGAACCGCATTCAACACATGTTTCCATATTCATTATCTCGGAGATGGTACACGATAGGTAGGCACATCGGGAAGCCGGTAAAGAAGTTTTAGAGCAGTACGAAAGCCAACAATGTGAAGTAGGATGAGCTCTATCACTCCAATCAACACCCAATTGTAAAGCAGGTTCTAACTTCATCACTGATGAAGACATTGCGAGTTGACTGTCAATCAAGGAAGAAGAGACATTTAAAGCAAGTAATATCTTTGATTTAGACAAAAGGCAGTTACATTTTGACGTATTAATGCTTGGAAATAAATTCTACAAGGTCTTATAATAGCAAAAACCTATTTTAAAACCCCTGTTCCTAGAGCAGATTAATTTAACATCCATGGAGGTTGTGCAAGACACTAGTTTTCTTCGCAATTATTAGAATTACAATACTTTTCGGTAAATTTCCTTACAAATGGACTTGAAAAATAGCATATAAGATATGTGATCTTCGCAATATAGCTTCCTTTTTTTTAGGTTACTGAGTCAGTGCTTGTAGCAAGCTACATTATCCTTATTATTCGAATAGACCGTTGAACGTGCATGTAAACGATTATTTAGTGCGTTTGCTGTTGTCACTCGCGCATTCATGATGGTTAGTCTCTCAGATATGTTTCGTGCTTATTTCCATTCAACTATTCATGAAACAGCAAGCTATCGTCGTTTTATATACGTTACAATTTAACAAAATCACATTTGCAACTCAGACACTGAAAAATAAAAAGATTTACTTCATGATTTCTGTCACTATTTAGACCAGATTTTCTCTTTATATTACTTTTTCTCACTTTTCCAGTATTTACTTAGTCACTCTATTCTTTCTTATTCATATACAAATACAGTTTTCGTTTCTTCTTCTTTTCTCATATGTCCAGATATAATCGATACTTTGGAATATGATTCTCTACCCTACAACTTTGACTCTTTACAACCGTATTCTTTTATGATAGATTCTGTATGCGTTAAGTCTATTTTGAAATCTTTCGATGTCATCTTAGAAGTCATTTATTTAGTAGAATCTAATAAAAATCAGTTACCATGGACATTATTGAATTTGTGACTCGAATCCAATATTTGTTATGGCAAGATCAGCATTATTACAAAAGAACTGAATTAGTTGGATAAAAGAATCTTAGTTAAGTATGATCATTTAGAATTTTCTATTATACAACCTCTCCTAATACGCTCATATATTAAACTCATATATAATAATGAGCAAAACCAGATGGTATTCTAGAGCTTATCGACCATAATTGATTATGTATTGGTTAGAAAGAGAAAATTTCAAAAAGCAGTTTATACTCCAGTAAGAACTAATCGTGTATTTGTATATTCTGATTTAAGATAAGCAATCTTGGAAAATCTAGGTTGACAGGTCTTCCTATCATAATCCAATCTGTTTTATGCAGTATTGAAACTTGTTTTCAGTGAGTAAATATTTGCAATAAAACAAAGACATGATCGTGGTTCATTTAATAAAAAGGTAGGAAATTTTTAAGATTTTTAGATTGTTAACCTACATGATCCTGGAAAAATTGAACAAGAATTTCAGAAATAATAGATGAACTCGTTCAAAATCAAAATCTTCCTTGTTAGAAATTTTCGATTAAAAATACGAGAAAAACAAATTATTCTTCTTTGTAAACATATCTATTTTTATCCAATTTTTACACACTTGAAAAATGCTAATATGAACTGTGTCTAGACTATATAAAATTCTATCGTTCTGAAATGCAATTAGAGCAAAACCTATCGAATAACCTACTATTTTACATGGCAAAAACTAGAAATTTGAGATAACTTTAAAATTTATTTATTTTAAAGAGTATAAGCTGTGAAAAGATACATATTTGTTTTTTGAGAAAGTATCAGATACAATAGGAAAAATTCTAAAACATGAGAAATGCAAAATTCTGACTCATTAGCTTTTAAGAAAAATTGAAATAGATCATTCTGGGAACGATAGTTTCTATAGCTTTTTCTAATCGAATAAAGTATTTTTTTTCTGTCGAGAAATCAAATCTATCCATAAGTACAGTAATAATTATAGCGTTTGATAGGCAGAAAATTACGCTGACATACACATTTGTAAATAAATCGATAAAAGCTAATCCATGAGTAGACTATGTGTTGTTTTATACCCATTGTAATCACACATAGCTAGGTGATGAGTACACTTTCTTTTTAATATATATTCTATTTTTTCAGAAGCATTAAAACCCAAACATTCTGTTTGTTTATAGTGCGGTAAAAATCGCCTCTAGGAAATGTTGACAGATCTGTTGAGTAAATTGTATAATCCAAATATGAAAGATGAATGAGTGATATAATCTTCTACAACATCTTGCTACTTAGACTCGGGCGACGATATTATAGTATTTTCGTAAAATCTTCAGGAAGGTGATGAAATAAGTGAAAACGTCGAATCAATCTTCGACGTAGTGTCTATCGCTGAACAACCGCATACATTAGGTACGGTTCTTGCATCACTTTTCTGGTATGCTGTGGTAAAACATTTTCGTACATAAGGGGTTATATATTAAGGGTTAAACCGTCATCAACTGCTATATCTAGCATGAAAAGTCACAACAACTATGATAATGCTCTCTCAGGTAATTAACAGACTGTAGTATTTAGATGCAGGTTTCATTAGTCCTCAAGTGGGTTATCAAACAATTATCTCCTAGTCTCATCTTCCACCATTATATGAGAAATGTTTTCCTCAATAACAGTCCAAGTAGTCCCATCACCTCAGCTATTTTAAGACTGTTGAGATGACACTGAGACTCTCAGTTTGACAGTCTCTACTTCAAGATACTCCTCAACCACTCTTCTTCCTCTTATTATCCAACAACGAAGATAAAAATTCAAAAAGATGCAAATTTTAGATAGGATGAATATAGTGATTCAATGATGTTCACACATAGAAACTATGAATAAGTTTTAGCCACAGTCTATTTCTTACAATGTACTTATTTCATTTTACTTATGCTCTATTGAAAGCACGGTATATATGCTATGGAATAAAAAATAATGTATTAAATAATTATAAAGACGAATACTGATTCGATGGTGCTCTCACAATATAATTTTATATTATGGCAACTTGATGACATAGATTGAGAACTTTGCTACAAATACCTATTTGATTGAGCATCCTAATGTCTGAACTCATAGAAGAATAATAATTGACATCATTAAAAAAAGACCTAATTTATCTAGAAAAACCTGGTCTACGATCTGTTTGTTTCGAAAATAGCACAGAAAAAGAAAGCTAATTCTATGAGAACCGAGAAAAAAAATAAAAACTTGTGTACTAAGCAGCCAGGAACTCTTCATAAGATCGACTATTTACTGTTAGTAGCTACAGTTATGATATTTAGTCTTGTTGTCATATAAAAATTATATTTTGTGTTGGTTGATCAAAGACGAAAGTTTCATTAATCTTTTTAAATAAATTTTATAATTTTGATATTGTTGTTTTCCAATATATTCAACAAATAAAATGGTCAAAGAATGTCGTCTCTAGTTCACTCTAAAGCTTCTTTACTATTCATCTGTATCGCTGACCTGCAATTGGTGATCGAACTAGGGCCAGGCACTCTAAATGGATTTATTTCGTTGACAGAAATCAATTGGAAACTAGTTACTTAGCTGATTGATTGATCGTTTAGAATACAAGCATTTGAATGTGACTTTAAAAAACATAGATTTGTTGCAGAGAGAGCTGTCGTGATTAGAGCGTTTAGTCAGATTCATGTAGTTCTTTCTATCTGAAAACCGCCATTTCCATGAAATTAAGGTGCCCCATTGAGTTTAGTGAAAAAAGTTTTAAAAAGAGAAGTTTTAATGCTCGCCTGCACTGTGAAAACGTCAAAGTCGAACATTGCTGATAACTTGGTGTCAGGGGTCGCAACGGTCCAACTTTTCATGGACCGACCCGGCCCGTTGCGACCCGTCAGCTAGATGGACCCGCTCGGACCGACACATTAATCACAACGGTCCGGTCCGACCCGACCCGTTGATTTGTCTGGACCGACCGGACCGGACCGGACCGACATAATCCGATGAACTATCTTTTAATC